AAGGCGAAGTATTTGAAGAAACATGTTTTTAAATACAGAAATGATAGCATCATTAATAGAGGTTTACGGTTTGAATCACACATTGTCCGATTGTTATTAGACGACCTCTTCATGATTCCCGAGCTAGTGCTTCGTATTGGCATGATTCGGCCAATGATACACTTTCATAAAATGATGTTATTGTGCTTAAGCTAAGTATATATCTCACTGAGGCCTGACAGACCGTTTATCCTGTTCTGTTACAGCGCTTTTGGTTTCTATGCCCTTCAGCACTTCATTATTTTGGCTTTCCAAAACGTTTCTCTCCATTGTACATAGTGAATATTTTTCCCGAAACACGTGTTAGAACAAGGAACACATATAAATATTTACTCGCTTGGTCGGTTCCCTTGTGGACCATCCGCCAACATAGCAAAAATTTATTGACGAAAACACAAACAACAAAAACAAAACAGTACACATAAAACCAAAGATTGAGCAACGCTCACCTCACAAAAAAAAATGATGAACTCAGGTTCTCGGAGGGGTAAGAAGTTCCTGCATCGTATGTTGAATCCATCGCGCAGTATATTGCTAATGAAGCAAAATCCGGCTAGAAGTCGCACTTGGTTATGTCACAATCGAAAAAAAGAGAAGTGAGTGTGTAACATATCCGTGAACATCTGCTTCACAGGTGTTCCATAACGGTAAACCAAATAATGACGACGTCCGTAAAACTTTCAAAAGAATGACTTAAACTTGGACCTCTTGATGCAATAGCTTCCTTGAAAGTTGTAACACTATATCACGAAAATCATGGCCTGGAATATCGTATCAACTAAGAAAATATACTCCATACATAGTTTTTACACCATGTGAAAATGGTGGAAATATATTTGGACAGGTAAAATGATAATTAGTTTGTGTCTTCAGTTCATCAAGTTTCGTAAGTTCCCGTGGGAAATATTCACTTGTATTACATTGCTGCTTTTATTTTAAATAACTGTTAACTTCCTTTGCAGAATAATACTTTTATACTGACAATTGGTTCATTTCCCTGTTATTTCATGTATTCTAATCAACAATATAATAGGAAAATTTTGTTGTTGTTTGTATGAAAATCATTTTGAGTCAAAACAGGTTTTTGTTTTTTATTTTAGATTTGTACATTTTTACAGTAGATTTGAAGTGATAAAAAGAAACTTGTTTGTGTTGATTGACAACATATTTTTGTGAAATGGTAATGTACAATCTAAATATGAAAAAAAGAAATACAAGTCCTGAATTACCAAACTTTGTATCAAAAAACCTCTCTTATGACAAATATATTGACATATGAGAACCGTATACTTAACTTTAAAAGTTTTTTGTTTACTTATGTTGATGTATTGCAGGTTCATTGATGTTTTCCATACTTATACCTAAGAGGTATAGATATTTAATGTTAATGATCACTGGAGTAGTCATCTTAATAAGAGAATGAGATGTGGTATGATTGTCAAAGAGACAACTATTTAACAGAGTTTACATGAACTTGACTTTAGTACTTAACTATTGGTCACCATATTGGTCCTCAACAATAAGCAATATTTATACCGTATAGTCAACTATAAACAAAATGTGAAATAGTTAAAGCAAAAAAACAACAGCCTTAACTATAATAAAACAATAAACGAAAAAACAAATATGAATTATATGCTCTTGACTTTGAACAGGCATATATAGAAGAGAGGCTAGGGAAAAAAATGTAGATAATAAACCTGTCTAGATTTTTTTACCATAACCTTATGAAGGTTATGTGTGCCAAGTGTACTAAGGTACATGAGAAAATGATATTTTGCAAATATTGCTTAACACATCTTTAATCTCTATAAACCATTCAACTGCATATCGTAATATAAATATCAAAACCAATAATATACGTTTTGCTCGCATAAAATAAACCAGACCCACCTTTTCAAAAGGCGGAAAATTACTTTTCAATGGCTGTAGTTCGTGTTGTTTTTGATAGATTTAAGTCATTATCAAAACTGGAAAATACGAAAAACAATTTTTATAATAAACAACAAATAAAAGCAGGAAAAATATATACAAATGTATTATAAAATATCAGCTGCAACTCATAAATGAAGCTTTTTATGTCGATAATTGAATGAGCATACAAAAAAGAAATACATGATAGTCAATTTAGAACAATAATAGTTAACTCCCTTTGCATTTAAGTTTTTGTTATTACGAAAATTACCGTTATTATATTACCGATACAACTTCTATGTATTTTTCTATCCTAAAATCTAGATTTCTGCCTAATATCAAGTCAATATAACTATAACAGATAAGATAAGATAAGATAAGATATTTTATCAACCAATCATGGTGCCCGAAATCTGAGCTATACAATCAAGTGAATTACAAAATAAAGCACAGTAAATGATCAGAATGATTTGAGTGATTAAAGTACATTTAAACAAAAACATGTATACACATATAAAAAAAAGTAACATATGAACAATGTCATTAACATGTGTGAAGTAGATCAACTAAACAACTCGATAGTTCAATTTTCATTAATATGTCAGAAATTTATATTTTTAATTGATATACCTATATGTAGAATGTGGCGGAGTTGAACATGTTTGTGAGCGCTAAACCGTCCCCGAAACCTGGGACAGATTAAACTGTAAATATCAGTAGGACATGGCTTGACTCATCAGATAGGCACGCAACACAAAAAAACAACTAACATAAAAACAAAAGATACAAATACCGATCTGAGAGTACTCGCAGTTACTGTAAGCTATTTCGAAGCCAATAGCAACTAATAAATAAATCATGTTCTACCAGACTGAAATATCAATCAGTACACATCCAACGGATTAAGAGTGAAGACTAAAATCATATCACATCTCCTTATCGTATATAAACAGTCTGACAAATGAATGACCTTGTGCAAAGCCAAAATGTAAGTTCATAATATCAACAGGAGATTGGACCATAAAGTTTCATAAATGTAAAGCAATACTTATAAAGTTATATTTCAATGCATCTTTTTCCGAAGAAAATGGTGGGTTAAACCTGGTTTTATAGCTAGATAAACCTCCCAATTGTACAAAATGTATGACAGTTGTTTATAGTTAATAGATATGTTGATTGATTGATTGATTGATTGATTAAATTTCATTGGTTGCTTGATTATTGCTTATATTGTTTATAGAAAGATAAACATGTAGATAAAATTGTGAAATCGTACTGAAGAATTGTTAATAAACTCCTTATAGATATACGTTAACATATAATCTTAAAAAGAAATAAAACCAATCTTGATAATTTGCTCCTCGATTTTCACGACCGATAGTTTACACCGCTACTTTTTATGTGTTCTCTTTTAGAATTATAATTTCAAAGAACTAAAAATGTACCTAATGTAGTACTTCCAAAATATTTTACTATTTTAATACCACAATTTTATCGTACTAAATTTGAGCTATAAATTTGAAGTACCAGTTGTGTACTTCCATAGGGTACTACTATTTAGGTACAATGGATATATAGTACTTCTTTCCTACTATTCTTTGATAGAAAAGTGCAATGATTTAAAGGACTGGACTGTTACGAAAAAAGTACACAAAACATACTACACGTTAAAAGTATAAAACTGTTAGAGGTATTCCCGTAACAGTGTGGACAACCCTAATACTTATGTTGTTAATAATACTGAAGCATTTACCTTTAACTTCTTTGTCATTAGCTATCGATAACAATGATTTTACGCTCACTTAGTCTGTAAGAGGCCAGTGGGGATTTAAATAGATAAAAAAATAATGTTCATGTATGTGCATGAGAAAAAAAAACACACACACACACTCAGAAAAGGAAGAATAGTCGGTGCATAATCATTAATACGCTTCTGTTGTTAAGGGTTTTTCACAAGTATAGTAGTTGACTTTAGCAGAAAATTTCCAATTTCCAATAAACACTAAACTATACATTTTACCTATTTTATAAAGTAAATTAAAATTTCATAAGGCTTGGTCCAAATAGCTTTTTTGTAATTGCACAACTATTGAAATTTGATCATGATTAGTTCTAAAATAAAACTTTAGACAAAATAAAAGTTAAAAGATACTAAGTGAAAAAAATTAGACAACTGCAATTGTTATTTCGCTTTGACGTCTGAAAAGGTAATAGCCAACACATACATTGTAACTTTTAAAGCTACATGTATTAAAAAATGTTTTTCAAAACATAACAAACACGCCAGTAAAGAATGTTTAAGTATTCAATATTAATCAAAACACAAAGTTAATTCCCGTGCTAGGTTTTCGAAATATTTGATAACTAGGCGTTGAGAAACTGTGGCGACCCCACAGTGTAAATATGTATAATAAGTACGACGTAATAAGTGGGCGTCAGTCAATTGATGACCTGAGCGCGCCAAGAAATGGTCTCGTTCACACTGTTATGAAAACAATAATTGTATGCTTTCAACATGTGTTGCTTATTGTTGAAGGCCGTACGGGGACTCATAGTTGTCAACATTCTAGGGCATTTTGGTCTCTGGTAGAGAATTGTCTCTTTGGCAATTATACCACATCTTCATATTGGTATATCGAATTATAAATCCAGAACTTTAAAATTATATTTCTGTTATAGTACAAAAATTTCGAAGTACTTAAAAAAGTACTACATTATTTAGGTGCGTTTTCATAACTTCAAATTTATAGCACTATAAAAGTAACGAGCTAAAATGCATGCTGAAGTAAACATAGTTTTAAAATTGAAGTCATGGATTCTATAATACACGAACAAGGAAATTGTTGCAATGTTTAATTGCAGTGAAAAACCAAAAACTCTGATTTAAAAAAAATTATTTGCAGCAATGATTAAATGTAGATTTGGCTTACATACGCAATGAAAGAGAATAGTATTTGGAATGCTAGTGAGGTATCATTACTTTAAAGATAATAATTTTAATAGTGTAAATTGGTACTAATAATGATTGAATAATCATTATAAATTAAAATTTTATAACAATATCACAGAACTATAGAACTGCTACAGGTGGATGACCAAGTGGTTTTTGTAAAGTTTTTACTGCGGCTTTCCAAAACAGGTCTTCTCCTATGCCTGTTTGGTACCTTATATGAGGTGTACTTTCCAGCAACGTACGCAGAGGACTCGTCATGTGCTTTGAATCAATTGTTTTCAGCATTATTAACAAGAAAGCATCTTTTCCTTGCCGTCGTCGTCTTTCCTGGACTACATCAACTTCCCACTGACACCACTCACTTTTGGCGAAGTTATTTGACATCACAACAACAACTTTCCAACTTTTCTCAAGATATTTGTCAATATTTCCAGTAATAGTTTCCCCGACATCAAATTCCCTTTGGTGAATGCAAAGTTTTATTCTCTCATCTCTTTCCATTTTCCGCAAAAAAACGTTGTGAACCCATTCTCGATCAGCATCACAGTAGACAACGAATGCATGATATTCATAGTTTAAACGTTCATCGACTGTAACATGACCTTGTCTGTGATTGTAAACAACTCTTAGCAGGTAAACAGTATTCTTGATATTATTCTGACATATCCAAGTGCAAATGACAATGGCTAATAATGTTAATCCAAATAAGGACAAAACTATAGCCATAGTATATAACGGATTCCATGGATTGCAAATATCATCAGTTGGGTAATAGTTTTTCAAGTATTGACCTTCTAATTCATTTGGATATCGACATTTGTAACGTTGTGGAAAACCAACGATTTTTACTTTGGTTTGTTTAATCCATTCCAAAAACCATTTTTGGTCACATGTACAGGAAAATGGATTGGATCCGAGATTTATTTTTTCCAATGTATTCAGTAATATAGACGGCAGAGAGGTTTTATTCATGGTTGAAATCAAGTTAGAACTGAGATCTAGAGATTTTAAGGATGAGATATTACCAAATATTTCTTTGCTACGATCAAAGTTGTGTAAACTATTGTCATGAAGATTCAGTTTACGTAACTTTCTTGAATTGGTAAAAACATTTCTTGGTAAATCAATGAGTCCGGTGGAATGTAACAGAAGTGACTCGAGATTATCAAGTGGTTTGAACATGCTATGAAGAACACTTGCATTATTTGGCAAATGATTAAGTCCAAGATTCAAATAATTCAAATTTGGACAGAACTTGAAGATTGTGGAGTGGTTAAATCGTTCTTCCAAGTCAAAGCGAAATTTACAGTTAGTCATAAAAATCTTTTTTATAAAACTATTATTAAATGCAAAATCTTCAATCCGTTTTAATGTATTGATCTTTTCTAAATTTACTTGTTCTAATTTTTTAAGACTGGAAAATATATTGTTTTGTAACTCAACAATGGAAATGCCCCTCATTTTTAAAACCTCGAGTTTAGGCAGACAAATAAATGACGTTTTATCAATATTTCCTATATTATTTTCGCTCAAAGAAAGAATCTCTAGTTTTGGAAATAAACTGTCGTGAAATTTACAGAAATTTGGAATTTTTGCTAATCTATTTCCTTCAAGTCCTAATCTTTTAAGACGCCGCATCTTCAAGAAATGTATCTCTGTGAGTTTATTGTACTCAATGACTAAATTCTCACAAAACGTCAAAACTATAAATGCTGATCCATTGATGTAGGAAAATTGATTCCCTATAAGAAGAACATTTTTTATCTTTGTATTGATGAACGAGTCAAACATATCATTTGGAAGATACTCCCAGTTGTTATTAGTAAACCGGAGTGTTCTGGCAAATTTAGAAGACAGTTTTGTTAGTGCTTTCTTCAAAACATCAACACTCAAGGAAGTTTCGTTATTGACTGTTAATACTGCTAGCCATGTTAAATTAACAAAAGCTTCTTGATGAATGTAACGTATAGAGTTTCCTGACAATACTAATACATACACTCTATGCAATGTAAGATTTATCAAGGAAAAACGCCCGATATCTTTCAGGTTAGAGTTTCTCAATTCAATTTCTTCAACAGATACTGGTAGTTTTGGAATGTAAGATCCATCGCAAATGGCACGTTTATATCCCCTGGTTGTAAGAGGACACTTGCAACACTCTCCACAATCATGATATGTATCAGTGTAGATTACACACATGATCCTAAAGATCACGATGATACCAAACCAATTATATGATATGATCATATTTGATACCTGTAAATAAAATACAAATAATTCACATACTATTTGTAGGTATACTTCTACATAGTAAATTGATCATTGTTATGAATAATTAACCATACAAATTGAAGCATAACTATTCATCTTTTAAATACATGGTAGATGAGAACTTAAATGTATTTGACTTGCACCAATCAAACATATAGCAACACACGTGTACTACATTGATAAAATTATTGACAATTAAAACAAATTGTCGCAGAATTGTTCATTTCTTAAATACATGGTAACTAAGAACAGAAGATAAATGTGTTGTCTTTTATTCCAAAAGTCTAGTTTAACACAAGACATGGTTTTTCGCGGAGTTAGTTTACAAGAATATTAAAACATAAATATATTTGTGTGAAAGCACGGCATAAAATAATAAAGGTTGAAGAAATGCTTAAACTTTGCAGAATAGTATTTTATAAACGGATTAGTGGAAAGACGACCAATGCGAAAAAAAATCTTAAAGAACAAATGATATCTTTTCTAAATTTGGTTTTAAAACCAGTGTTTACTTTTTTCTCATGTTCGTTAACCCTTCTCTGAAATTCGAATTCCCTTTAAATTCAGTCGGTTTGAGTATCTTCCCCGTGCAGTGTGATGTTTACACAGTAATAGAACCCGATTTTTTTAAACTGTGAATATATGGATACTTTTTAATGTTCTATTCTGTGAATCAAAATTAATACTTACATTAGTATATTTAAAAGTCTCTTAATTTTGATTCCTATGTGTTTCAGATATACAGTTGTTCAGTCACGATGAACTCGGGTGTTTGCTACATTGTATATAAATTTATTACATAAACCTTATTAGGAAACATAATGGACGTTATACATAAAATATATAATCCATTTAAAGGTTGCATATAAACCCATATTTGGAATAGAAATAGCTTACAAATAATGTAACTTTTTTTAATTACTTCCGTCATTCAACACTATCTACGTTGCATAAACGCACAAACTAAAGTAATGTTTTATTGTAAAAAAAGAGAGAGAGAGACGAGAGATACAATAGGGAAATTTAAACTCATAAATTGAAAATAAACTGAAAACACCGTGGCAAAAAAAGAGAAAGACCAAAAGACAAACAACAGTATACAAAACACAACATAGAAAATTCAAGACTGAGCAACACGAATCCCACCAAAAACCAGGTGTGATCTCAGGTGCTCTTGGAGGGTAAGCAGATCCTGCTCCACTTGTGGCACCTGTCTACTTTCCCATGTAAGTACAAACCCTGTGATAAGTTTAATTCGGTAGGTCGCATTCGTGAAAGGAGGACGGGATTGTGGTTACGACGATTAAAATATATACTGTAAATTCAGAAAATATTGCGAGGTTTTTATTAATGCGAATTATGCGACTGGGTGAGTCTCGCAATAATAAGAACTCGCATTTTGGTATCTGATAAATATATTTGTATGCAGATTTTCCTGAAATCGTAATAATTAAACTTGTATCTTTGTCCTTTCTTCAACAATCGCAATAATAAACGCACGCAATAATATCTGAATTTACATTTTAAGTGCATTCACGCAAAGTATACTTTAAATAGTATCTGATGCAAGAACAATCAGATTCTGCTAATGTTTAGGAAAAAACCGTAATGTCACAAGAGATGTCGCTGCTACACGACAGTAAAATAAATAGAGAGTACTTAAGTCTTAGTAATTTTCAAATATATTCAGATCTCCTCATCTTTTATTCAACATTCTAAATCTACAAGATTTGATTTTACCTGACTTACATTTATCACTTAACGTCAAAGGAAATGTTAATTTTCGTTCCAAATAGTGATTTTTTTTCTTTTTCTGTCAACAGACCTTTTTCCGCAGAGTGTAGTGTATACATACCAAATGTAAATAATAAGATGTCATATGATAGCCGACGAGACCATCGTTCACCAGAAACCAACGGCCGAAAATGTAAACAAATGTAGGTCACCGTATGGCTTTCAGCAATGAGCAAAGCATATATCGTATGTAAGCTGTAGAAGGCCTCTCAGTAACAAAGTTTAAAAGAAGTCAAAAGAAAAACCAATGGACTGATGTTTGCTAAAACAATAGGTGAAAAACAAATATGATGGACAGAAACGAACGACAACCACTGAATTACATGCTCCAAACTTTGGACATGCACATAAATTGTGTGGCGGCATTAAACATAATTCTGAGCGAACATCCTTGTAACACCTGAATTAGTTGTGTAACAGTACAACAAAAGACCCAAACCATAAAAATTAGTTGGAAAAGGCTTGCATGATTAGATCAGTATAATACACTCAAACTATCATAACAGAAAGGCAATGTACCGATTTAAGACTACTTGCAGTTCCTGAAAGTAAACTACTATAAATGAACTTAGTGTAAAGACGTCATAAACAGTCGGAGAAAAGCCTGACCTTGTACAATGCCAAGATATAAGCATCGATAGGATGTAGGACCATGAGCTAAATTGATAACCTTTTAAGAATAAGTTTATTCATATGATCAATTAGTTTACATGGATCATATTTAAATTCACGGTCTATAAACAGTGTCATCGTAAAATGTTTGATGTTATATCTCGTGTGCAATAAGGTTTCAACAGATACAGCAACACTCTGTATCTACGAAAGAATTAATGAAAGGACTTAGATTTTAAGAAATTTGAGGTAACGAAATTCCTGACTAAACAATTTACCAATTATATATAGATTAAGTATATTGAAATCTAAAACTGCACAACAATATTGGTTTTCCCCTAATGATCATGTGTCCTGTACGACGACTTCGTGTAGAGATCATAATTCTTATCGTATTAAATTTTTAGTCAAAACTAACATCCTCACTACAACACCTAAAAGATCACTTTCACAAAGTCGATCGTACAAGTTTAGAATTTTATAAATAATAATCGAATTATTCTCCCTTAATACAGACACACATTCTTTAATCATAGCAATTTCAACTCGTAAATTCGGAACGTGCCATTTCTATGTAGTACTATTCCCAATTCTCTGTAGTACCATTTAAGGGCCATGCATTTCTAAGTTAAAAATATTTAGATAATTTGCGTTTCCTATCAAAAAAGTATTGACAGTTGGTTAATAATACGGTCCTCTTTTAGCCAACATCACAGATCGTAATTTGTCTTGAAATAAAAATCTTGACAAATGCTACCAGTAGAGGAGGCATCCCATTCTGGCGTACAATACTTGACTTAAGTTTGTCTGACTGTAGTTTAGCATTGTTGGGGCCTAGGTGACCGAATGGTTAAGTAGTTCATCCGCTAGCTGTCAATACTCCGGTTGCTGGTTTGAACTTCGCTAGTGCTAGGTGCCTTCGACTCAGATCTTAATTGACTATCCATAAGATTGGCAGTTTTCCTGCCGAAGGTCGGTGTTTCTCCCCGACTTCTATGACTTCTTCCACCTATACAAACTGGCCCTCTCCATATAACAAAGAGTACTGAAAGTGGCATTAAACATCAACAATAAATAAATCAATCTATTCATATATAGCATTGTCGAGCACCTGGTATCACTCCCAAATTGACGTCAGTTTGTTTAGCGTTTATCTGGTCGTATACGTCTTGTTTTCGCTTAGTTCATGTTCTATGTGCAATACTCCAAGGTAAATTCAAAAGAGGGGGGAAGTCCATAAAACTAGGATTCATTTTACAAACCAATACATAAAACGATAACATTAGATAGAATGTTTAACCCGTCTTGTCCAAATGCACATACTAACCAATCAAATATTCAACTATTGTATATCAACGAAGAACGACGATGAGAAAAAAAAACAGGAAAATATTTGTTTCCAATGCGTCTCTATTGACATTTTAGTCGTTACCAAAGTCTAAAATTGAAGTCCTTTAGCAAAGTTTTAAGTTTGAAATTCATATAATCTTTAACGATAGTCATTAAAAATCATGCATATGAATAAGAGACAAAAAAGAATTTTCACTAAAACCACAAAACAAACAATGTGTAAACACAGATAAAAATAGGGAAGCAGGGACAGTGTCATCTCAAATTGGCAGGAAACCTAACAGGAATGAAAAAAACTGAGGAATAATGGGATGATAACCAAAACATACCTATATCGATAATTATATCTCTCTTATGTGGACTGTGATAAGCGAAGACGTAGAATGGCATTTCGTCCCATAGATTTTAACCGAAGAACCAATTATCATCCAACAGGGTTAAGCTATTACTCGAAATTTGCGTATGGAGGTCCAGTATTAATTACGGCTGCTTCAAGCTGCAAGTGATCACCTTTCTCTTAATCTATAATACATAGTTAGTACCATAGTTAGCATCCATATTCTAAAAGTGGAAGTTTACTTGCTGGGAACAAATACCTGTTCAGGGAAAGGATGACAAATATTATATATTACGTAGACTGACTACTTGCAGTTGC